AGAGAGAGGGAGGGAGAGAGAGAGAGAGAGGTGGGGATAAATTAAAAGGAATAGAATAAGGACAAATATTCAAGAACCATTAATAAAGTTAAGAACAGTAAAGTGTCACAACTAGGAAAGTGTGTTTGGAATTAGAGTATGTCATTAACTCATTACTAATCTAAATCTAACTATTATTAACAAGAGAATACTGTAGGTATCATTATCATTATTATTATATGTACTCTTGATTATTAATTTATTATTATTACCATTATGCCGGCTGTGATGAAGAGCTGGTTCAGTGAGACTAGCCTTCCTCTTAAAGTCTTTGGTGCCAGCTCAGCATTATATACAGGAACAATCATACTCAATATACTACATGAATAATATAAAGAGAAAAAGGTTTCTAAAATGCGTTGATATTACATGTACATGTACACATGTAATGTGAGGACTTACCCTACACCAATCCCAGCAACCATTCGACCAACCAATACCATCCTGGAGAGACAAGGAAGGAGAAAATAAACAAAGATAAAAGAGGCATCCATGTACATGTACAATAAGGAAAAAGGTCTAATTTTACATGTACATGCATAATACATCTAATCAATACAATTTCAATATATAATGTACACAAAATAGTATTACCATAAATTAAAAGAAGATGCTTGTAAGGCACCACCAATAAAAAAGACTACTCCACCCACAATGATTGATAGCTTCCGACCAATTGGATCAGACAATGCTACAAAATAATGACGCACATGTCACATGATTATCACATGATTTGTAATGTACCTCCAGAGACTAAAGCACCAATAAAACAACCAATGGAAAATAAGGACACTACCAGACCCTGTATAAGAATAGAGAGGAGAGGGGGAGAGAGAGAAAGAGAGAGAGGGAAAGGGAGAGATGGGTAAAAGGTATGAGAATAGAGAAAATAAAAGAGAGGGAAGGAGAAGAGAAAATGGAAGTGTATAGATCATGATATAATATTACCAAAATTTACCATCAATTAATATATAATGTAGCAGGCAATTTTGGAGATGTTCAATTTTGTAGCTCTTAATTTGCTGCTGAAATCATAGAGTTTTATTTTAGAAAATATGACCCAATTTGGTAAATACGCAAAATTTTACCCACTCCAAAACTGCCCCCAACACACGTAGCATTCTCCAAATCTCAACTCTCTTTCTCTCTCCATTAGACTAACCAGTAGTGCATTCTCGTTGGTGTCTGTACCCCCACAGTTAAGTGACCCATTGCTCTGTTCATCCTTTACCAATGACAGGTTCATTGTACGGCGGAATCCATCCATATCCTTGACTCCATTAATGACACTAATCACATGACAGTACGAATAGATTGTGAGAGAGGTACATGTATCATAATGAAT